AACACCTTTATTTATTATACCTGGTTTTGATAAAGCACATATGTTGCATGGAAGAAACATTACAGCTGTTCCAGCAGACCAAACCAAAAATGTATATAAAATGTAAATATATTTTATTTAAATGTTATTTATAGTGATACAGTTAGCTTAACAAAAAACTAAAGCTTAACAAAAAATAATCTAATTAGATAAATACCATGCAAACAGTTTGCATGATATAACCAATGTAAGCATTACTATTTTATATTTTTGATTAACCAATTATAACAAGGGTGTTAACAATTACCCTGACATCTAAGCATATCAATTTTTACCACATTATAAAAAAGGAAAATGCTTCGGCATTCAAATATGATTAACACTGTTACAGCTTTCCCTTGGTGACTTTTGATGCACAATAGGTGACCTTGGCGAGTGATATTTTGGCCTTCATTTGTTCCTTAAAATGCAGGAAGAACTCTATCTCATTAGCTGCAGGTGGCTGTGAAGAAGTATCCTACATCATGAAGCAAAATTATATTATGTTTTTACTAAAGAAAGCGATCTTAAGTTCTTAAATTTTGGCTAGGATTCATAGACAATTCAGAAAACAATGCTTATCATGCACATGTAGTTGGGATATTCTGTCATATTTGTCAGTGTCAAGTGCTAGGCCCTAATGTCATGAAAATGGATATAAATCTATTTCAACACCTTTTTATTTATTTATTATTTTTTAAAAGATAGAGTGGATGAAATAACTTAAAATGCTGGTAAAAAGGCACTGTACCATAGAAGGATTACTAAGAACAACAACATGGTGTTGCATATATAACCCATTCCATTTTTTTGATCACTGCATTTGTTCAAGTCACATCTAAATATCTTAATATTGTGCTAAGCATGAGCAGAAGTTGAGCACTTTTAGAAACATGAACCATTATTCCATGGCAGAAAACGAAGCAGCCTTGAAAAGAACTGCACTTTAATTAACAAAAAATTAAACAACTTCAACAAGCCTTTTAGATTAAATTTGATTTTAAAGTACTTATTATAGTTACAAAAACATACAACTAATAAAAGTAAAGTGAGAAAAAAATACAGTTTTGTAAATATATACATCTATATATATCACAGCTGCGAACCATGAAATATGAAACAACAGAAAAGTTTTTGGCATGAAAATTATCACTTTTCAAAAAAGTGTTTTGCATTGCATAATGATGCCATTTCAAAAGAATCTAAATGGACTTAAATTCACTTAATGAATAATTCAGATCATTGAGCTGCAGTACAAAGTCCAAAATTCGAATGTCCAATACCCAGAATGATCCAGATCATCAGGAACTTGAGAAAAAAAATATTTTGTTAGTATGTTTTACACATTTGCATTTGATATTTTTTCATAACAAAAAATGTGGAGAGTCCCAATTCTTAATTTTACTTCAGCACTAAAATATTCCCATAGTGCAGAAACAATCAGCTTTCAGCATAAATCTAATAAACAATATTGCCCTTTTGGTGTCGCATACAACTCACACCAAAAAAATCGTTGGGACAGTCAATTTTCATGTCATAGGTCACTTTATAGTCAGGCAGACCTGGCTGCTTCCTTCAGCATATTTCTGATAGCAACTTGGCAAATCATTATTATTTTCTGCTTTCATCACCACATGATTATCAACACATAGCCACTATAGGGATGACCTGCATAATGATATCTTAACAATTTTTTAAAAAAAAATATTAGTAGATAAACACGAAAGACCACAGTAACCTTTTTGTTGACATTATGCTTGGCAATAATTAGAGACTTCAGCTAAGTGCACTGCGAAGTGTGGAAAGGGAGAAATTTAACAAACATTTCTTTCCATATGCAAGAATTTTTTTTCTTCTCTTTTATTTCTAATCGCAAGGCAGAATACAGCAAGAAGATCAAATACAGAAAACAGAAATGATTGAGATTTGGCAAAATGGTTCAGTAAATACACAAATTCGGTAAAAATGTTTGCCCAGGAAATTATGGTCTTGTAAGTAGTCGGAAAAAGGGCCAAAGCATTATGTTGTAGACATTCTGGCAGGTAAGTGAGATCTTCAGGCTTCCATTGTTTCGTTTTAACGAGATCTGACAATTGCAACTGATGACTTTCATAGCCTGTTCTGTGTTTAGCTTCACTGAGTGATATCACCTTTGAGTTTGTTGATTGTAATAGTGATGCACCTTTTCATTCAGTTCATATAGGGGTTTCTAAAGAGCCAATGGCTTGAATTGCTGCTCTTGAATCTGATAGCAAGACAGTATTCTCAAATTTATAATGTAATGTCAATAATTATTTCAGAGCAATTCTAAGAGACACCATGTCATCTTCCCAGCAGAGGCATAGAAGAAAAAAAGGCTAGAATAAATCCCTGAAGAAATTCCAAACATTAGATCATCACTATATGAGCGCTTGTATAAACATGCACTGAGTTATGATTCGGGTATTTAGTATAAATGGTTTCCATGGCAAGGCATTTCAAGACCTTTATACATGTTTAATTCTTGGTAACTGGATCAGTCAAGTTAGTGTGTCTTGACTTACAATATAGAAAGGGGGTTCATTGGTGGTACAATTTCTTGTATTTTATCGATTAGACTACATTCCTCTCTAATTCTATGAACTTTTTGTAGAAAGCCACATTGGGTCTTGAGATTTTTAGTTGTGTCCCGATAATTAAAGGATCTCCAATGAGAAGCAACTTTTTATACAAGATATCAACTATCTCTTTAATTCTTAATTAATAATAATTTAATATCTTCTTACAGCAAATTTTTTGTTAGTAATAGCATAGCTTCATTAGGGATAGATTTAGCAGCTCCAATAATAAGTCTCATTGCTTAATTTTGAAAAATTTCGAATTTCTTAATAACCTGCTCACCTGCCCTTACAAGTGCTATGCAAGAAATACATTTTGCAGTCATAGGCCAAAATATTACATTTAGTGCTACCTGAATTAAGAATAACTGATTTGTTACTCAGATAAGCACAGGAGTGGCACCAGAGCTTTTGCGGCTATAACACTTAGCCACATAATTTAACCGTTTGAGCTCCTCTTGAGTGCTGTTTTCCCATCCATAAATGCCAAGAAGTGCTTTTTTGCTTGTCTTATTCTCCAATTAAAAATGCCAAGGAGTGCTATTGCGCTGTTTTCTGCTCTTATACGGTAATTTGTATTGCTTTCATTTCAGTGTTGTCTGACATCTTTCTGAGCAGATATCAGTGTCTTTAAATAATATAAAAATATTGAATCCTTTACTTTTACATAAAATGAAATGGTAACAGTAAAGTTGCGCATTTTGTGGTTATCGGCTTCGCAGCCTAGAGCACGGGAACTTTTCGAGCAACACATAAGAAACACAAAATCCCTCCTTGGCACTCAAACAGTTAAGGAAGAAAACCTTTTTAGAATTAAAAAAAGTATCAAACAGAAAAATCCTCAGAATTTAGGGAAATCAAATGAATGCAAAATTTTTAGAATTTGAGATTTTTTCCATAGCAGAGCTAGCTGACACATGAAATTGACTCTCAGCTCAGATAAACACTATCGTGAATGACCCTTTAAGTGTGTGTGGGACTTTATTCATTAAGCACTCAGATTAGTCTGAATATGGATGAGAGAGAAAGATGCATGAGTATAATAAATAACTAAAATCATATAATTCAGGTTTAGATTTGTTAGAATGCATTAGAAGCAATACAAAATTTAGTGGAACACCATGTCTTTAGCTGCAAATCTTATGATACATTGCCAATAGTGCATGCTGGCTAAGCTTTATGATGATAAAAGTGAATTTGAAGATTTTTCAGATATCAGAAACAAAAAGCGAAATTTTCCAATTAATGGAATTTGTAAAGAAATGCGGAGAAGTGGAATAAATGAAGATGACATAATAGAAGTTTTTCACAGCGATGACAAGGCTCCATTCATCAGTCAACTAACAGACACCAAAATCTATAGAATGGTTTTAAATTAAAAAAATATCGCTACCAAGAGTAAAGAAAGTGATAGAAAAGTTCGTTGAGAATGAAATAAAATTTGATTTAGCGGGAATTCTCGACACATCATTACAGGAAAAATGAAGCTTTGTAACTTATTAACAAGAAACTATGTCTATTTATAGAGTTACCAAGAAAATATTAGCACAAAAAATAAAATAACTTTCAACAACTTATGCTGAAAGAAATGTTCAATAAAGTAAAGAAATAAACATAGGGTTTTTTTCATAAACTTTGAGTTTAGTCATAAGTACATCATTATTTTATAAATTATAATTTAATATTTTAAATCTTGTAATTTCTACTTGCCATCTTAACAGATTTAAATTGATGATTTAACATATGGAAAAATCCCAAATCCGGAAATGCTGAAGTCCCAATGAATTCAGATTTCAGACTTTGTACTGTATTCATAATATGATTCTAATATAAAATATATGAATATTTAAGTATTCTAAATTTCATGTTCTTTGGCTAATTTCAGAATTTCCTTATATACTTTTATACAAAGAAAATCTCAAATAGGAAAATGCTCTTACTAAAGCACGTTTATATATGATGGAAATAAAATTTGTAACTAATGTACATATTGTTGTATGGATAAACACAGTAATTTACAATTTATTGATGTAAAACAACATTATGTACAAATATGAACACATGAAACACTGTTTGGACTCCTATAAAAGGTTCTACATATGTCTACAGTAGGTTAAAACAGTTTAGATTTAAAATATATATAAATTAAATAAATTTCGTTTATTGTTGGAAAATTTTTTCTTTCACAAAGGCTAAAATTTAAAACTGTGAGACTTAATGCTTTGCTAGGAGATGTGACGGAAAACTGGATTTGGCAGCCATGACATAAAACAGAATATCCAAAATTAAGTGTAAAAATATGCAACACATTAAACAGAGACATTTTCAAGTATATTATATATTTCACACATATTTTCATTATTTATATTATATACAAATTAATACCTTGATATAGGCACTTGGATAAATCTTATGAACAGCATCACCTGGGGCTCTACCAGCCTCCCTATCTAGATAGTAGCTCTGAACAAAAACACTGTGATCACTCAGACAACGTAGCCAGACATCACCTTCCCCTCGGAGGTCTAACTGAACTCCCTTTCCAATATGTAGTCTAATTAATAATAAAATGCAAAATATCCTTTAGGACCAATGACATGTCATTTATAACTAATGTTTTACAATTTAAATACTGCTAGCAATTAAAATGGCAAAATCAACAAGGACAAAAACTAAAAAAGTTTATTTTACAGATTCTTTCTAATACAAAGATAAAATCATTAGAACGCCAGATATGTTGGATATTATATATAATGAATTATAGTCAATACACAGTGTGGCCATCATAAGCAACATTAGCTACTTTCTATACAGCTAGGCACACAGAGTACTGAAAGGATTTGAATGGCATTTTGAAATATTGCATTCAGGCAGTTGAAATTTCATGGCAAAAATTCATCTATTGTAATCACTGGTGATTGTGTTTGTCAAGCCAGTGTACGCAACACCACAAACTAGATACATTTACTCGGGAAAGATTTCGTGAATATTCCAGCCAAGCCAAAACCATAACATGCTTTGTGTCATGCATTCTGCTAGCAAGAATGACTCTAGAATGTTCCTGAAGATAATGTACAACTGCAAAAGCTTAACACACCTGTAATGTAATGTAAACTACACAAAATGCATAACATGAATGACATTTGTACCCAGCTCCTTTCCATATCATAACTCTGGTGCTCAACCAGTGTGATGATGCATAAGCATGATTCCAATGCACGCTACTCACAACAGTGAATAATGCTGCATGCAAAAGCAAAATTCATTTGAGATGATATTTATGTATCCATATGCACCTGAACACAATTTATGTATCCATATGCATCTGAACACAAACTTTAATTGCAGATGCTTGTGCTGTAACGGTTAAAAGTACAGGTACCACAAAAATGTCTCATCATAAATGCAGATACTTTTAATCAAGACACGCATAATATTTTCTGTGCTACGGTAAGGGATGTGACTGTATACTCTGTATGGACCATATGTACACATTCTATGTTGTCCTGGGCATTGGTGCATTAAGGTTATTGTGAACCTGCATGCAACTCTTTCTTGGTTTCATTGATTTGAAATTCGCACAGCAGTAGTTAAATTTCAAGCAACAATTTTGCAGTACAATAATCTGTAATCACAGTATACTACCATTCTTCAGCAAAAATTTGGACACAAGTTGGTATAAGTTAAATCTACCACACTTTAGTCAGAAAAGGGAAAAAAACATCATTTCAGTATGGGAAACCTGTTCTCTCTTCTGTATTATACAAATTACATCTTTTTTGTATTCTATAGATGCTTATTATTTACATATGCTGCATTTTCTCCATTTTTGTGACCTGCATAATATAGGCAAATTTCCAATTACGCAGTTGCTTTTTCCACAGCATTGCAATTTTAACAGCCAGCAGCATTTATCATAAATTTTAATAAATGATTATAGAAAATGCATGAGAAAAGGAATTTAGTTAATTTCTTGAATGTCTTATTATATACTGCTTTATTAAATATTACACCTAGATACATATTTCCAAGAGCAAAATTCTCTTAAAACAAAGGCCAGTATTTTAGAAAATAGTACCAGTGGAGCCATGGAAAATGAACAATCTTTGTCACCACAAACTAAAAATTCTAGTCAATAAAATTAAATCTCCCCGAAGTCCTTGGTTTCAGACGAGCTCCTGCAAAGAACACTAGGCAAAATCACACATTGGAAAGCATTCACTGCATTTATTACTTGTTAAGTAGTAATAATAATAGCAATTAAAAAAAACTTTTACATGCAAATTTTGAGAAGATATCCTTAGACAATATTCTGATATCGATTATAGGAGCTAGTCAAAATTTGATAATGAATCTTTTTCCATTCAAGATGAAACAAATAAAAGCAAATGATTTTTGTTTTACATCTGCTCCCCAATTTGTTCTCAAAGCCTATAATTTCATTTAGGAATAGGTATGGAAAAATGATCAAAATCAATATATTTTTTAATATTTATTTTTGCAAAACTATGAAATTTTTAAAAATTTGTATTTAACTAATTAATGCATATTAAATACTTTAATAATTATTTTTTATTGTATAAGAATCACACAAAAATCAGATTTTAATTTTACAGTAACCTGCATATCCACAGTATCATAACTATTTTTAATAAAACTCTGCACTTTTATTTTAAGAAACTTTACACTTAAAATCAATATTTAAATTATATATACAGTTAATCATTAAGAAAAGTTTGTATTCACCTTCTTAAACACATGAATGCTACGACTGAAAACTACACTTAAAATTTAATTAATAAAATATGTAAAAAATAAAGTACCTAGGTCTTTCACTCTGTTCTGTTCTATGTACATTAGACAGAGCTCCTAAACAAAATCTATTTCCACCAGATGGATCAACATAACCATCTACAATTACGCTGCTATAGCTTGAAGACACTTTAAAAGTTTCACCAACTTGCTGATCAAGTTCAAAGTATGCAATAGAGCACCAATATTCTGGAGCTATATTTAAATAAAAATGCACAAATGTCATTAAAATGTAAATATTAAGGAAATTAATGATTTTCTTACATAAACCATTCCTTTTCATTATTGAAATTTTATGAAAAATTTATTTGTTGAGCCTTCTTTAAAACATCAAATTTTATAAAAGAATTACTGAAGAAAAATAAAATAAAATTTTAATTTAATTTAATTTCTTAAAAATTTAAAATTTGTTTGTAATTTTGTAAAAATTAACCAACAGAAAAGGAAGAACTAAGACTTCGTTATTAACATTTAAACTGAAATGCAAAATTCCCCTCCTCCCCAATGTAACTGATGTAAGTAACAAATTCTACAAATATTCAAAACAAAAGGCAAAAGTATTTTAAGAACACCTTTTGCCCTTTATACTGAATATTTATAATGGGATTAAGATTAGTGTAATGACTATATGTAACATCTATTAGACAAAATTATTCTTATTTTAAAGATGTTCACAAAATTTCAGTAAGAGTGGTACAAGCAGTATATTCTCATATTAATCCCCCTCCCTATTTCAGTGCCAAAATACCAATGAAATGAATGATATGAAAATTTTCATATTAGTGAATAACATATACAATTAAATAATACTATTAATGCTTGCAACAATTACTATTCCTTCCTATAACAGACATCTTACATGACACTTTACATTCCATTAATTTTGGGTGGGGGAACTAAATAAATAAAAGCTTTACTGATATCCACTTTTTTCAGTCCCTACCTAACATATCCTAGCATTTTTGTAAACAGATATTAAGCAAGGACCATTTGGAACACTTTGACTAACATTATTATGAGAAGCAAGAAATGATGTTTCATGTACCCCTGAATGCAACCAACAGCTGCTGCAGATGCACATTCTTTATAACAAAAATGAAAGTAAAAAAGATGATCTTATGATATTATTTCAGCCATGTTTTGATGTAGTGCGCTGTACTTTTGGAGGATAAAACACACAAGTGTTGGGCAAAAATATGGAAACCCCTCGTAAAATGCATGTCTAAAACGAAATGTTTTTTCTTGCAAAACCTGTTGATGGTAATGAAATGTCTGCCCACTAACATCTCCTGTACAACATCCTTAATACATTGCAAATGTCATTCATTGTTGAAACAGTGTTCTGTACAATTCTGAGTACAGTATGTTGGAGCTAAATGAATTCAAATGTGGGCAACTTGTTGAGGCTGTATGGTGGGTGCTTCCGCAAACAAGGTAGCTGAAGTGTTTGGTATTCCGAGAGGAATAGTACATAACATTTTTTAACTCACACAGGAAAACTGGAAAAATCACATTTCCAAACCACATTCACAGGGTGGACGAAAATGTGTGCTGAGTGATCATGACAGATGATCACTGAAGCCCCAAATGTGACTGCTGAACTGAAATGTTGCATTTGCAAACCCTGTCAGTACCAAAACAATTCGAAGGGTGCTCCACAAGCATGGTATTTTTTGGTGAGCTGCAATTCAAAACCCACTCATCAGTGATCAAAATGCCTGTAACAGAAAAAAGAAGTGCCAAAGTCATAAAACCAGGACTTCAGAGCAATGGAAGACTGTCGTTTGGTTGGACAAGTCTTGCTTCACCTGTTTCCAGCAGCTGGAGAGTTTGTGTCTGGTGAAATCTGTCCCAAACATATGATAGAGACCATTTGCTGCCAAGACTGAATTATGGTCAGGGTTTGGGCCGCCACATTGTGGTGTGCCATGGGACCCATCATTACCCTGCAAGGTCACATTACTGGAACAGATTATGTGACCATTTTGGCTGATCATGTCCATACCATGCTGTAATTTAAGACAACAAAGCTTCCATCACCTTCTAGGATTAGTTTTCTGAGCATTAAGGGTGAACTTTCACATCTACTATGGCCACCAGAGTTACCAAATATCAATGTTTGTGGGCTACTTTGGAGAGAAATGTGCACGAGTGCTATTCACCATAATCACCATTAAATAAATTTGAGAACATTTTAGAGGAAGAATGGTAAACGATTCTCTTGCAAAGTATACAAGACCTCTATTTATCCATTCCGTGAAGACTGCAAGCTGTTAGCAGTTTTGAATGCCAACAGCTTTCCTACACTGTATCCAAACCACAAAAACCACAAAGCAATATATTTTTATTTTGGTGTTTCCATATTGTGGCTCAATCCCTGCAAGAATTTAAAGTGAAGCAACACACATTATTTTCAACATGAGTAAAATTTAAATGTACAATCTCAACTCATAAAGTTATGGCAACCACATTCTGGGATAGATTGCCAGCTTTTAGGGAATCTTTTCCATACAATTCCGAATAAATGCTATCATATGCTATCTGAACCAGTTCTGTTAAATTAAAACAATGTTAAGTCCCGATATTGTTGATAAAATGCAAGTACTAGTCGAATCTTTTGGCTTGCAGTAATTGAATCCCCTCCCCAGTCTAGTCCTAATGCCAACAGACAATTGCATCATTCTATATCTGAAGAGGTGCTCTGTCAGCAAGCATTTTCATGTTGACTATAACAACTCCTAAACCATTGTTTTAATGATACTGAACCATTAAAATAATGATTATTCAAGAATAGTTATCCTCTCAGGCAGCAACACTTCTACACTTTGTAAAAACCCATCTTGCATTATAAAAATGCAATAACAATGACGTATGTAAAATCTGAGAAAAAAAATAAAACACCCAAAATGTTAAGAAATTCATTTGTTATAGTAAAACAGGCCTTACTTAAAAAATATCTACTGCATCTTAAATACTTCATCAACACTAATAGCATTAATAAAATAAATACATAAAAAAGAATAATTTTGGAATATAAATGCAACTATAAGTAATAAGGGAAGGTGTATTTATTCTAAAAGATAAACAGAAAGAATTGCTAAGCTAATCCAAATTGATTACCATAAAAATTTCTTTACGCATGCTAATATTCTAAGAGATAGTGTGGAATTATAATAATGTGACTGGCTAAATAAGACATTAGCTCCTTGTTTACAAATTCTCCACAAAAAAGAAAAGAAATATGCAACTGCGGATTCTCAAAACTTTCTTCTGGAAGGTTTCCACATCCTACTGTATTTCCTAGCAATATAGATGATCTACAGCTTCACCCTTCATCATCAAATGACCTTTAGCTAGGACTACTTTGGTGGAAGTATGATGCACACTGCTGAGCAATGAATACATGATAGTATTATAATAATAAGACATTGTCTGCTTTCAGATGCGCATATGTATCAATTATTTTTTATTATGCATATAAATAAAATAAATTCTTTACATCTATAAATAACTTAATTTGGCATTATTAAATAATTTCTCTGTTTACAGGATTATCTTAAAAGGTGAATTAATTTACGTCACTATACAGAATGCAACATCAATACAAAATGAAGGCTGGCTGTTATGTAAAAATGAAAAGGTACAAAGGTACGCAATGAACTTACCAGGTTGATTAGAAAGAGCACCCTGTAAATTAAGGTCACTATGCAACTGAGCATGTTGCCCTGAAGGAGGAAAGAAGATAAATTTAAATGTATAGGCAGCCATAAAAACAAGCATCTGAACAGGTACACTCTGCACAAAAAAAGGGGGGCACAGTTCTTTATCTTACATTCTACTGGGCTGATTGGCATAACCTACCTTGTGCTTTTCATGTTTTGAAAGCAAAACTAAGGATATACACTGAACAGCTAAAACACTATGATCACCTACTCAATAACAAGTTGCACGACCTTTGGCCTGCAAAAGAGCTGCAACTCGCCAAGGCATGGATACCAAAAGTTCTTGGTAGATGACTGGAAATAAGCTGTATCAAGTCTAACCTGCAGTCACAAAGTCAAGATATTCCAACATGGTGAATTCTGAGCTGCCGCTCCATGTCATTCCAAATGTGCTCTATTGGGTTAAGATCCAGGGTGACCATGACTGGGGTGTTGTTCTGCTTCTCCATTTCCAGTTGGGAAGAATGCCATGTAAAGGTTCAATTTACTTGCAATTATGTTTAGATAGTCCACAGCTTTTATGGTCTATTCTACCACAACTAAAGGTCCCAGGGCCGCCCATGAGAATGCATATCAACACCACCAGCCTGTGCAGGACCTTGGGGACGGGAAGCAAACTTTTTGCCTGGAAAATGGCTTATCCTGAAATGACCGTTGACATGATGAATGAGAAATTGTGTTTCCCCTGACCAGGCAATTGTCTTCCACTTATCCATGATCCGGTCTCGATGTTCTCCGGCCTACTGTAGGCGTAATTGATAATGACGCTTGGTCAACAGACGCACATGAGCGGGACTTCTGCTATGCAGTTCCACACGCAACAGCATGCACCGAACTGTGTGTTCTGAAACACTTGGACCTGGATCGTATTGGGCTGTTATCTGAGCCATTGTCTAGCACCAATTCTAAACAAAGTGGGTCAGTCACCAGCTCAGATTGAAGTACTACCTCTAATGGCATTTGACTTTGCTTAACTCATGACAATGTGATGATCCACAAGGCTGGAAAAAGGAGGTACAATTCCTTATCTTTTTCAACAGCAGTTAAATACCACTGCCCCTTAACCCTTAACTTCCCAATTTTTTAAATTTCTATGAAAAAATTATATCAGCTACTTCTTAAGTAATATTAAAAGGGAAAAATATTTTTAAAAAAAATTAAGCAGTTTTAAATTTAATTTGAGTCATTTTTTTGTTTGTTGCAGAAGTGCAACATTGCGCAGTAGTGCTGTAAAATTACAAAACTTTTTTTATATGAGGATTTTATTATTGATTGTTATAAATTGCTTTAGCCTTACATACAATGAAAATTTTTAAAGCAGTTATTGACTTTGTTGTAAAAAGTCCCCTACTTTACACTTTTCGCACTCAGTTTGAGTGTAGCTCTTGCAGTTTGGAAACTTGCACCGTATTCTTTTCTGACCATATTGGCCAATGATTTATACCATCTCTACGAATGTCCTCACACGGAATGGATTGGACACTCCCTTTGCATCTTTTAGTCTGCGACATTTGTTCTATTGAAGTATTATTAGGTCTTCCTCTTTTAGCATTTCGATCGTACCTCACATGGAATGGATTGGACACTCCCTTTGCATCTTTTAATCTGCGACATTTGTTCTATTGAAGTATTATTAGGTCTTCCTCTTTTAGCATTTCGATCGTACCCCATTTTGCATAAGCATGATGCAACTTCAAATTTGAATTTTTGTAAATTCATTAGATTTTTTTTTTTTTTTTAATTTCAGATTTCTTCATTGTTTCTTTAATTTGATCAAATCCAAACTCTTCTGACCAGTATGCTCTATAGTTTGGCAGGTGAACTAGAGATGCATAAATGAAAATACCCAAATATTGATTTATTTCATTCTCTGATATAGTCAAAGGCTTACTTGGATTCTTTTGAATAGCATATTGTTTGCTGTCTTCATAAATGTTACTTATGATCTCTTCCGTCCATAAATATATAAAAAATTGGTACGTAGTGTCCAAATCCGTAATTTCTCTTGGGAGCGTGTCATCTCCATGGAATTTTATTACTTCTTCAATCAATCAAATGTTTCGATTTTTCCGTAAAATATTCTTTGACAATGTTTTATTATTCTTAACAGTTAAATTCAACAAAGGTTCTCTGACTGAAATATACCAGCGGCCTAGCGGTAAAGTCGCTGAACACTGGTAGTTTGTTTTCGTGTTTTTCCTCATGTGTAACTTGTACCCAAGCCAGTTTCCCTTAGAAAATCCTCCATGAAGGCATCCCTCCCCGTAGGGCAGATAGCTCTCGAGGCTTTGCCATAATCACACACACACACACACACTGACTGAAATATTTCTATCAAATTTATTATCATCATCATCAGATGTTTTTATATTCTCAATTGTGTTTTGTAAAACAACACTATTTTCACAGTCGCTATCCGAATCATCATTAGATGACACACAATCAGGTAAAAAATGAACATCATCAGCAGAATATTCAAGACTATCCTCACTTAAATCACTCATTTCGCCCAAATTATTCATATATCTAGCAATTTCATCTTGGGTTAGTATACACTTTTTGGCCATGTAAAAATGGTAACCAAAGACCAATGTTGCAGACCTGCAACATATAATTAAAATCAAATTTCTTTCAAACTTTTTCCATTAGAAAATCAAAATTACTTTTAAATGAACATAAAATGTTTAAACTTCTTCCCAGGTAATTGTTTTCGTCAATAAACAAGAGGAAGCATAAAATAAAATGGATTCTTTTTATAGCAAAAACACAGTTCTTGAGGCATCAGAGATTTTTATAATTGTTGTGATTTCTGGAAAAAATGTGCTGCTATCTAGTGACAAATTTAGCATGTATTTTGTTGCAGTAACCTTTTTTCCTTAGATAAGTGATTTGTAGGTAATTAAAAAAAATATTCTGTTAAATTAAAATAAATCATATGTTGCAGAAATGCAACAGTGGGAAGTTAAGGGTTAATCATGTCCCCTTCACATCATACAGATGAGTTTATTGAAAAATGTGAAGATGGTCATAATGTTTTGGCTCATCAGTGTATATTAGATTTATACTATATAGCATAGTTCTAATATACGTATTCTGACACAAAATCGGACTTTTCCTTAAATGACATACCGTTATTTTCCATATTTTGAGTGCATGACTCACATTATGTCCAAATTTTAAATTTTGTAAAATTAAGTGAGAAACTTAGCAAGAAATTTAAAAATTTATCTTGGCACTCTTTTTTTCAGTTTGTGCCACGAATAATTCCTTTGGTGAGATTCTTAATTTACGATTTTCCTTTCCCTTTTTTTACTGTGCACAAGCAGAGGGGGGGGGAAAGGTGGTTCTTGCATTCTTATAAACAATTTTAACAAAAAACGTAACACACATTTGGCATTATTACGGCTCATAACATATATGTCAAATTTCAAAACACGCAGACATATAAATTCAGGTATATCTTTGGAAATTTTGAAAAAACAAGTCTAATTTTTTTCAGGTATGCCTAGAAATACATCTATTTTAAAGTGATGGTAAAAATTTTATAGGTTATAATTCAAAAACATTTTAAAAAATTTATAAAATTATAAAAATATATAAATTTTAAAATAAATAGAAATATATCTGATAAATAGAAATAAATAGAATAGATAGATGATAATAGAAATAAATAGAATTTTATTTGGGCTGTAAAACAAAGAATCAAGTAAGTTACATAAAAAAAGAAATATTAATAAATAAACAGCAAATTCAATTAATTTTGAGGAGCTAATATTTTGAGAGCTAATTTTTTAAGAACTACTTATGGACTTTTTACAAAACTTGGCACTTCGGCATAACTTGAGATGTACAATCAAAATATTTAAAAAAATGCAGGAATGTCATTTCAGAAAGTGTCTAATTTTGTGTCATAATACCTATGTTACAACAATGCTACATATTAATCTAATATTTGAATTTAACAAACACTCTCTATTCGTAAAAAGCAAATTTTAAGTTAATTAAATTTTAAATGAAATTGAATTACAAATAAATGATTAATTATTGCAGCGAACTAATCTACAATATCATTTAAATTCTGAGATGATTCTTAAATTTACATATGTAAATCAAATGCAAAACTTTATATATTCTTTTGAAACAATATTAATCTAACATATATTCTAAGTCATGCCATCAAGACATAAAAAATCAAAGATAAATTTCAGCAATCAGCCCAGTAGACTGGAAGAAATAGAACTGTCACTTATTTATTTATTTATTTATTTGGTGTAAGGTGTAGTTTCCAGAAAGCAACCATTTGAAATTTGCCGTTTAGAGCATATGCAATTAAGTTTACAAATTTCTGAAAACTGCAATTCTGGCAATTAAATTTACCAATTTTTGTAATTAAGTGCAGTGGCTAGTTTAGTATGGAAATACCCTTGGAAAAAAAAAAAAAAAAAAAAAAAAAAAAAAAAAAAAATCCATATTTCATGCTTACAGTAATTTTGTGACCGTATAACAATAGTATTATCAGGTGGCACCATTGACTGAGTATATGACAATGTGCTTCCTCCAGTCCATGTATTTGATGAACCTGAAATAAATATTAAAATATGAAGAAAATACTACTATCCAGTTCATTAAGAACAGAGAAATGCTCGCTGATGCTGCTTAAAATCTTTAGTACATATTCTTTCCTAGTACAATGTCATAATTAAATAAAACAGAAAAATCATAAATACCAGTAGATAACTCACTGCTGTTTGAAGTAAAGCTCGAAGGAACAGCTGGTTGTGGTGGGGATGTTCCAAGCCCATTAATCGTATTTGGTGTCAGGTGTGGAGAAAGGGAATCTAAGGTTGTATTTCCATTTACTGCACAAAATAAAATAACATAAAATAAACAATATTATACAATTTCTTACATTCAGATTTAATTACAAAAACTATAGTACAACAGAATAAAAATTGCGAGAGATTTGTAACTTTTAACAAGCTTTTATCAATTTTCCCGTTAAACATAGAGCTCATATACCAAGATACTTACACTGGGATATAGTTTGTGCTTCTTGGCTAGGAGAAAAAAATCCAGGTGAAGGTGTGGATAGAGGAGCTACAGAAGGAGTTGACGGTGGTGTTGAAAGAGAAGAGGAGGCAGCAGAAGGAGGAGCAACCACTTGCAGTTGCTGTGTACATACTGTTAAAGGCTGAGTGACTGGTTGTGCCTGATGAGAAATATTTGGAATGGTAGGAGCTAGGAGAGAAACACAATATAACCAATCTTTTCTGTATTAAGTATGTATATATTTTGTGTTAGAAAATAAAAAAAATTCAATGTAATTAAACCAACCACACATACTTTTTAAATTGCATTTTTTAATAAATGTTAGCTCAGAAAATATATGTACTAAACATATGCAACAAGGTAACTTCAATAATTCTTAAAAATGAGAAGACAGTTTGACATATCTCAAAAAGAAACACAGTTTAATGAAATGAAAACTTGCATATGAAACACACAGACATTTAATAAGTACTGTCACACATAGTAAAGCTATTAAGCAATCTAAATTTTAAAAAAAATTAAACATATCAGTCCTTGAGTTTTTAGGTAGAAGGAGTAATATCATTTGTAAATAGCAAATACCACAAGTAAACAAAATATTGAACTCTGAAACATTAAAATATTTTAGGAAAAAAAAGCATATGCTATAAAAAAGGAAACACAGAAGTCTGTTGACCAATATTGTTGGTCCGAAGATCACACTTTCAATTTTTCTGCTGCCAAACATTGGTGAACTGGATTTTCTAGAGGCATTTCACATTTAGAAAAAAAAAAAAAAAAAAAAAAAAAAAAAAAAAAAAAAAAAAAAAAAAAAAAAAAATCTTTCTGTTCTAGTTAACGACCCTAATTATTCCAATCCATCTTTACTTTCAACCTTTAAAGAAATTATGTTTTAGATCTGGTTTCATCAACAGATGGTGCCAGTAGCTTATCTCCTGTCCAGGCTTTCTTATCATATCTTATCTCGTTCATTTAATCAGCCGAGCGGTAAAGCCACTGAACACTAATAGTTTGGTCCGAGGTTCAAATCCTGCAAACGGGCTGGCTGCATGGAGTTTTCTCCATGTGTAACGTGTATACGAGCCAGTTTCCCTTAGAAAGTCTTGCACGAAGGCATCCTTCCCTTTAGGCAGATAGCCCTCGTGTGCTTTGCCATAATTGAATAATCCTAATCATAATCTCGTTCATTTGCGCTTTTGCAGCTGAGGATGATAGTTTGGTAAAACCACTGAAACTAGTCCTGTGAAAATTTGAAAATATAATGCTGATTTTTGTTGTGACTTCTGAATCTGTATCTACTTTTTGAATGACTAAACAAATGCGGTTTAAGAACACATTTTTCAAAATCAACTTTTTTTTGGGGGGGGAATATAGAATTTTTAGGATATTTGATTACATCTGAGGGTTCTCATCCATCACCTCAAAAAGTAGAAGCTATATTGAATTTTATCTTGAGAATGTTCAGCCGAATATTTGTCATCTTCAAGATTATGGCAGTCTGAAACAGACTGGTTAGATGAATCAGTGAGTGCTTGGCCTAGTAAATTTATTGCGACAACGGAGTTTTCTGATGCTGAAAAAGGTGTATGATTATTGATGATACCACAATACTACCATCTATTCCAGAAAAACCTAATTCTCTGTTGAATCTTGAAAAATATAGTAAATTAATTACAGCTATTTGAGTGACTGCATGGATATTGAGACTTATTCACAATCTGAAAAATAAAACTGACAAGAAAACAGGACCCTTGATTGCAGAAAAACGCTTTGCCGCAAAATTATATTTGATAAAAGAAGTTCAATGTAAACATTTTTCTGATGAAATTAATAGTTTAAAGTCTGGACAGTTGATTTTGACATATTTCATGCTTACAGTAATTGAATTTAAACTGAATCCTTTTCTAAGTGAGGAAGGAGTTTTGTTAGCAAGAGGAAGACTACAAAAATCAACTTTAAGTTTTCATGAACAGCATCCTATAATTATTCCTTCAAAAACTCATTTTACAGATCTTCTGGTACATGATACAGGTGTAGCTAGTACTCTCATGTTCTTCCATGAAAAATACTGATTAATTAGATCCAGACAAAATATGAAATGTGTTATAAAAAACTGTGTACTGTGTCAGCGTTATAACAACCAACCGATGCAACAGGTCATAGCACCATTACATCCATCTAGAGTTAGAGCGCTAAGAGTATTAATATTGTGTGATAGTATATTTCTTACTGAAAATGTAATTTTAATGCTACTTAACGTTGTAAGTATGCTTAATATTTAAAGCTGAAATTTATATATTAGAAAATTTTAAGGTTGTAGAAATGTATAAGTGTATTTAAAATGTAATTTAATTCTGAAAAAAAAAAAAAAAAAGGGGGGGGGCGGGGATGAGTTTCTTGTAATACTTCTAGTATTTTAGTAGGATTATTGAAATGTTATTTGTTTAATATTATCTTGAATTATATAAATTTTTGATGCTTGAACAAGAATGTTATGACAATAATCCTTAATGAATAAAAATTTACTTGATATTGGCAAGTTTTACGTGTTCTTGATGTTTATGTGACATTTTCTTGATTACAAAAACTTGAATTTGTATTGAAATGCATAATGATTCTTAAAAATGTTCATGTATCACTAATAATCTTGATTGTTCTCACCTACTGTTCAGCCAGGCCCAGTGTGTAAGAAATTTATCCGGAAATATATTTTAATCGCCAAAGAGGTCATAAATCTTTCATGATGTATACTTCTTGTTCTTTGATTTGGCAGTGCCAGTTGAATGCATGTTAGAACTGAATAAACTTAGAAGTTTGAAACCTGATTCGAATGTTCATTCATTTTGTGAATTGAATTAAATAATGTTTCTTGAGCTGAGATAACATGAAATCTTTTTGGAATATATTATTTAGAATACATGGCTACTTTATATATACTAACACTGGTTCAAGCACAAAGCATTCGCAATTACTGGGTATCCACGTGAAGTCGCTAGCCTGGTAAAATAATGTTTTCTAATACTTATGAAGTTTCTGATACATATCAGCAGGTAAATAGATTGTTTAGGATGATGATAGCAATTAAGTGACATATCATAGTTCCAGACCAGAGATTCCTCATAACTTCATCAGTTAACTATAAGCTACTCCTAACTGCCACCAGTCAATTCTGGCTAGGAAAATCTGGGAGCATTTGTGAGAAGATGAGTGTGCGATTAGCCAGTGCAAAAGCAGAGTTTAAAAAGAAATGCCAATGATTGCAGAAAACAGTTTCACATAATTAATCAGTCTATTTATAGAGTAGTAAATAATATTTGTATACACATAACATTATAAAAGCAAGGCAAAAACAGTGAGCAGTGAGATGGGGGTAGGTATAACATATAAAGGCAAGCTAAATATGCATGCATAACTTGCACATTTTGTTAAATTCAAGCATTCATAAAAAGTTATGTTTTTTCTGTCTCGCCAGTTGAGGTCTTAGACGGCTAATTCCATATTTACTCAGAGTGAATGAGCATTTGCAGTATTTTAAAGTACACATGGATTTACATAGTCAAATTAGCCGTATTTTTTAGCTTAATTTCTTGATGTACTTTTATTAATATACTTTGCATTTCTTTCCTATTACTATTAGGTTATCCCTTTTCGGCATGCTACCTTTCAAATTTCGAATAAAAAAAAAATGCTTAACAGACGTATGCAGATATATATTTAAGAAAGTTAGATGGGGGGGGACTGAACCTTTCAGATTTCACATTACGTCCTAAGGCAGTGGTGCCTAACCTTGTGCTCGCAATATATGGTAAGCATTTATAGTCATAAGAGATATCTTGCAGATGTTATAAAATAATTGATTGCTGACTGATGAACTTGATAGCGAACATGGAATCTTATTGCTTCATTCCGATGTTAGATAGCTCAGCAGAGGAAAAGTACTTCAATGATTTGTGGAACTTCTTTCGCCAAACGCAGTTTTCGGAATCCGGAAACGAAAGTTATAAAGAATTGGACGATAATAATTTGTTATCCGATCTGTATTTTCTGACGGATATAACAGCTAAACTGAACACACTGAACAAAGATCTCCAGGGAAAAGCAAAACCCTTTTTCAATTGACTGGGACTGTAAATGCTTTTTAGATAAAGTTAAATTTGTGGATAAATCTGATGAAAGAGAAAATTTCACCCATTTTTCAGAATTTATCAAGGCATACTAATAACCACAAGGCAATTGAAACACAGAAATACTTGGAAAACCTAAATGCACTGAGAAATAATTTTGAACTCCGCTTCTCTGATTTCCATAATGTTCAACCAATATTATTATTCATCTCAAACCCATTTGCCAAAATTAATATTTCAGATATATCACATAAGACTGGAAATATGTTTAACAAAAATGTTGACATTTTGGAAATGTGTTCGCGATAGGCCAAAGGTTGAGCACCGCTGTCTAAGGGTTGATTTTTTAGCGTTTTGTGTGTTACCTAAATATAACGTTTTTCACTTAAACCATAACACTCCAACAATTTTTTAGTCGATACACTTCACATTAAGCTTGTGGTAGCTCATAAGATAAAATGTATAGTAGTAGCTAGTATGATGATAATGTCCTTTATATACCAAGTATTCATGCTATGTTGTATGCTACACGTTTTGTAAAAGTACAAGATGTACTATTTTATTGTAAGATTTTGAATTTATGATAAATGCCTTCGTCGCGGGCCGGAGGATGTTCCAACTAAAATTCCCCAAAGGAATAACTGATGCTGGCTTTCCCCACGATGAGGGGAAAATACAGTTAGAACAGAATGGAAAGATGATATGGTAAGATGTGCATAGATCCGGCACTGTGCCGCGTATGATATTTTTTATTTGTTTCAATCATGTTGTTTACTGTTTTCAATAAATAATCAAAAGACAACTACTGTGAATTAAATAACTCAACACTTCAAAACGAAGACACCACAGTGAATGAGCTCAGCTCAAGGAAGAAAATACTGCAATGAAATAAAGATGCAGTTGTTGGGCTGGTCCTGGTGTTTCAGTGATCTTACTCTGAGCAAACCAGATGTTCATCATTCGATTTTTGGCAAGATAAAAAAAATAATATTGAAATGAGCATATATTTAGATTTTCTGATACACACTGCGCGCTGGAGATAAAAATGTTTTCCCCCCTTCCCCGTACAGTGTTGCCATTGCCTCACTTTGACAGTTTGAAAAGTGAACTGACATTTGTCGCGAATCAACGAAAAATGCCAAAACGAAATTAACAGCCCTTCTGGGCAAGTCCTTTGGGCTTTAAAAAAAAAAAAAAAAAACAAAAAAAAAAAAAAAACAAAAAAAAAAAAAAAAAAAAAAAAAAAAAAAAAACAAAAAAAAAAGAGGGGGGGGCAATTTAATTAGACCTAATCAGGTAAAATTTTTGTAAAGATAGCACTCACCATTTTAATTCTGTGGGTGTGTCCGAAATGGGCTCACTGAATTAATAGAGCTTTAAAAAGAGCACTGAACCGAGCATTGCTGGGAAGCACGTAATAGAATAAAAAATTTTGCCTCCAATTAAAAAACACTCACTCTGATTACCAAACAGATTTAGCATTACCCAAGGTAAGCCACGAGAAGACCTGCTACTCTACAACCCCTCAAAAACTCTTCTCGGTTATATGATGGTTACATGTGTATAAATGCAAAAAGAAAAAAGATAACTTGGCTATATGATATTTACACTTTCGTCTATTTTTTTCCTGGTGATACTTTTCAAAGCAAGTAACACCACCTTTGGAAAAGCACAACCCAACATTGCATGTTTTGCATATTTATCGGGATCCGTATTAGATTCAATATCTGAAGGCAAGTGTTTAGCACTTTCAGTGCTTCAGAAATGGTCAGCCCTCTCCGATCCATTTGCAAAATAATAAGTCAGAAAAAAATAAACTAATATCTACAACTCAGAAAATATAAACTATAAAATAAAATTAATTAAACATATACAAATCAAAATGCAGAACTAACAAAATTTCTTTCACCAGCGAAAAAAAAAAAAAAAAAGAGAACTGCTTTAGCAAAAAACCAAAGAGCTACCTGATAAATTTACATCTGACCTTCGAGGGGGTGATAAATAAAACCCCACAATTTCTTAATCGATAACAAAATCTTACCGCCCAAAAAAGTCAAGAAAAACAGGAAATGAAACACAGATGTGGACCCACCTTTCTGTGAATGAGAACGCGGAAGAAAATACGGCAATGAAACAAAGATGCAGTTGTTGGTGTTGTCCTTCTGTTTCAGTGATCACACTCTGGTCGTTCAATTTTAGGCAAGATTTCAAGGTAAAAATTTAAAACTACTACAGAATAAGGTGATCAACATACCGCCAAAAAAATAACATAGAAATTTCTTTTTAAGCAATTCTTTTTATATCCTAAATAAAAATCTGGAAGATATCTTTAAAAAACAAAGGAATTCAGAAAACTTTTTTTTAAATAGCTTGCACTTGCTTTTTCTAGCATTGACCAATCCTGGGCTGAAAGTGGTAGCCATTTTATTCCGGAGGCACCTTACCTGAATTATGCTATACTGCCATCTAGTATTAATAAAGAAGGTTCAAAGTAACCTAAGAAAGAATATTTTGGGTGTGCAGAAAGGGTTATAGCCAATTTTTCCTAACAATTAACATATTCGGCATTAGGATATTTCAATGGATGTTTCATTCATATATTTTTTTCTCTTTTGTTGTCAAAGAGTTCATATGAACTTCTCATTTTACTAAATAACCCACATTCAAATTCGAGTTTGATGTATTCAGATTAACAGCAGAGATATTACAAATTGAAATAGTTACACAAGGTTTTTTTGGTAAAGAGTTATAAGTGCATAAATTCACCATAAAATGTTGTATCCTAAAAATCTGATTTCAGATCCTCAAATTTAATTTACGAAATAGTTTTCCGTAATTTTTATGACTTTATGATCTATCACGTTTTAAAAATTGAAGTATGTGTACAAAAACACTGTTCTATAAAATATATTTAAAGTTAGAAAGAATGTATATTAATTTATTTTATAAATTTAAAAACTACCACATTTATATGTTGCACCTTATGCTTTCTCGATTTTGCAAGTATCTTATTTTTTGTTATCCTTAATTTTTTTTCTTATATGTTTTGCTGTTCACAATGAATGTTGTTCAGAGAGTTTAACAACACATTCAGTATCAGGAGTTTGAGTCCTTCTATACAAACATCATTAAAAGCTTCATTAGCACTTATGTTTTTGCATGAAGGCATTATTATAACACTTATCACTTGATTCCAGGAAAAATCTGGATTTGTCTCTGAGAAAGCAACTGCACAAGTCTGAGACAGTCCATCGGATCTGTTGACATTTTTTAAACCTTGCCTCTCTGGAATAGGTGGTTAGTGAAAACACAAATACAAAGTACTCAGGTGTACATTGCTTTCAAGGGAAGCCTTCGGTGCACGATACTGATTCAGTACTTTCACTAAAATTTATGATTTCAATGCAGTCAGGTAACTTACCTTGGGATGGGGGCAACAACGGTCTCCCAAATGGATCTGTCTGGGGTTGCGCTGGATGATGTTGCACAGTTTGAGGAGTATGTTGAATTGTTTGTATGCCACTGGGCCCACAATCCAACTCACCATATTCATTTTTTACCATCTGACTCTCACCTATGTTAAAAGTATATAAAGTCAAATAATGTATAGAGTCAAATAAACTCAATTTCTCTTTTCCAAAATAAACATAATGAAAAACAATAGTTCTTACCAGGAGATTGGAGAGTCAGCCCAGATATATCTGAAAACCAAAAATATGATAAATATTGATTTATAGAAATTAACATAAAAAGTCAAATATTCTCAATTACAATTCTTTTCCATACTGAAGTGAAAGTATGAGTAATTTTTCTACATATGTTAGTAACAGACTTTTATATTAGCATAAATCAAAAGATTGAATAAAGAAATATGTTGGCTTCCTATCCGGATTTTAAAGATTTGTTGCTCAACCAAGATCTGATGACCTGGGGATTATTCAGCTTACAATCAGAGAAAACCACAAGTGCCTTCATGTAAAAAAAGCAGCCTCCGCACGATATCACCACAGACTTTTGTTTGTGCTCGATAACTAAATGTTAAATAGAATATTACTATAACTTTTGTTATTTATTATAGTTTAACCATTTAACCACTATATATGACTTAATTACTGATTTTACATAAAATAATGCTGGAGACTAGAAATTAAAATAAATCTAGTCAAAAGGTTTGACATTGAAAAATAAATGCTTAGATTAACCATAAAAGCAAAACTAAATGAAAAAGCATTCAGTAAAAAAAAAAAAAAAAAAAGAGAGAGAGAGAATTTTTTAATAATGATTTTGGACAGGGATTGATTAGGTAACACAACACAAAAAACTATTTAAACTCCTTCTGTTTTCCTTTGCTTCATTTCATTGGAAAAGTTTTTCAGTCTATCTGATCTACACTAAGTAGAAAGCAGGAAAGAAAGGAAAGGGGGGAAAAAAAGAGAGACATATGTCTATTAAAATCGGAGGTAAATATCACAGTGCCTATAAATAGATAATTATCTAAAATATGCCATCTGAAATTCTCTGATTGTAAATTAAACTTATCAAGATAATTTTAACGACCAGGGATTAAAAGAAAATAAATTTGCTAATATAAAAAGTCTTCACACAGGATTGTGAATCTGAAATAGCTTGTATTTTCCATTTTTATCTATAAATTGGTTATCTACTAAAACACTACACACTTAAAAATATGTCTATCACAAACACCTAACTAACAGAAAAAATATTCTAGAATTTCAAATGAATTACCTATTGCAGGAGAAACAACACGTTCATAATGATAAGGATTAACACAAACACTGTCACATTTTAAATCAAAGGCAAATTGACAGTACTTTACATGCTTTAGTTCATTTTTATGTAAATCAGGCCACCTCCATATTCTTGCATATATCACATGAGGAAATCCCTTTCTACCAGCAACCTATAATATATTAAGAACATGTTTTAAAGATTAATTTTTTTAAATATTTTTCTATCTAAGAAAATGTTACCAAAATCAACATTAATAAATTTTCAAAACTGGAAGGACAGAAAAACTATTTGATTTCAAATATAACTTGAAAATTATAAATACATCTGAACTGTTATTAGCATAGCAATTTGTACAAAAAGAAACATCGAATTCATATAATTAAACAAAAACAAGTGAAAAAATATAACATTTTGCATTAGATGAATGAATGTAAAAATAAATTATGTGTAAAACAGAAAGCTTGTAGAGCAGCCATGGCCAAACTCCTTCCATGAAGCTCATATCGCACAAAATGACAGTTTTAATTTTTAAATATTATTCCAACTTGAAACAAAAATCATACTACAACATACCTCTTTAACAATTGACAATTTATTATTTAATTACATGAATAGTACTTACATGATGAATTACATCAATAGTAAATAAAAATTACATGATTAGTAATTTCAAACAATTTCAGCTTTACCACCATGGCAATGCTACTTTTAGACTGTCAAGATAAGAGAAAAAACAAATTAGCTACATGCTGCTCTGATGAAGCATCTCAAATTTTACGAGATGCTACTGAAAATATGTTTAATTATATTGGAATGAAAGGTATCTGAGAATTCAGATAACATTTAATGAATTAAACATTTTAAGGTTAATTTTTATTATTTCCCTACGTTGATCTCCAAAATAATTGTGCATTAAACTGGAACTATTATTATATTTATTCCCATTCTTCTTGCTTAAAAACTGGGGAGGGAAAAACATGGGAAGTACACTATTTCTGAAGCATACTTGCCAACCTACTACAATCAAAAATTGCCAATGAGTTTTATAGTGCGGAAGAGTTTTATAGTAGTGCTATCAGCCGATAGATGGCATTGTAAAAAAGCCGCCAATAGGAGGTGCACGATGGCAATCGAGAATCGGGAAGCGAGAGAATGCGATTAAGGTTAAGAATGTTTTGTAATGATATGTATATAGTTACCGTAATAATAAAGAATTTAAAAAACGCAAGAGTTATCCCAACTTACCCCTAGCTGTCCTGAGATTAATAACGGAGATTAAAGTTAACAGTAGGGAAATTAAAATCTCTTCTTTTCTCGTAGATTTTAATATCTTTAAAATTGATAATTTGCAAATCTAGTAATTAATATCTTCCTGTTGAAAGTTAGTTTTATTTAGTTTCAAACATGAACTGATAATGCATCTAATATGGTTCAAACAATACAAAATATGAAGAAATTGTTACAATAGATGGAACAAAGACTGCTTTAGATATTGAAACTTCTCAAGAATGTTCATATGAAGCTTTAGATGATGTTGCTGAAAAGGCATCAAAACTGCCAAATCATGCAAATGCATTGTGCAGTCCACGCATTGCAACTTGCTGTTAGAGATGGGTTGAAGGAACCTCATGTTACAAATATCAATGGTAAATTTAGGCAAGCAACAATAGTAGCAAAAACTCTCAGAATTGATACCATTCTTTGGAGGAGAGCAGGAAAAGGGCAAATTATTGATCAAGCAATGCGATGGGGAAGTACCTATTTGATGATAAACAGGTTGTTAGAATTAAGAACGTTTTTTAGAAGATGTAGATAACTCTAAAAGTTTCCCTAACAGAAAGACTGTGGAATGATCTTGCAGAACTGGAAACTCTTCTTTTTACACTGTGTATAGCCACAAAAAAGCTACAATCTGAAGAATCAACAGGAGGCTTGTTTCTGCAAGAATGGAAGGATTTGATGTTTGTTCTTTCTAAAATGGGAGGGCTTATAGCAAAAGGAATCATTTCCTAGATGAAGAGAAACAATGAGATCTTGCTGTATTCAATATATGTAGATCCCAAAGAACAAATTTTGTTAGATGACGGACAAATTAAAAAAGGCACAGAAAGCCATCTATGAAACTTTCATTAATAAATTATTCTCAAAACTACTGGAGTAGCCAAATCAGGACAATCAGACTGGAGACATTGCACTTGAGTCTCTATCATCCTCTTTCAATGATGAATTAGATTTTGAGAAATATTTGGATAATACTGAAAAGGCTAAGGCACGGTGAATGGAAATTAACCAAAGAGCCTATCCTGAAAAGTTAAAAGAAGTAGCTTTAACATTAACAATTCTTCCTACTACTCAAGCTAATATGGGAAGACTATTCTCAGCTCTGAAGTTTATCAAATCTGATCTATGGTCCTCTATCAAAGATCTTGCCAAAGCTATACTGTTTCTTAGAAATTACTAATGAGTTTTCCATTTCATAATATATGCTAATTAATATAAATAATCTGCTATGTCATCAATTTGTTTTTCTCTAGCATCTATTACTTCTTTTATCTTGAAAAAAAGCTGTAACACGTTTATATGTTTACATATATATGAGGGAATCAGAGTCAAATTATTATATTTACCGTAATTTCCGGAAGAAACGCCGCGGCGTTTACGTGTTTAAAACTTAAATTTTCAGCGGGTGCGGCATTTCTACCCATGCGGCGTTTAGGTGCACTAAAAATAAAATATTTCCTATGATGGTCATTGTACATTGTTTGGATGGCCTTGTCATTGTGCATAGACTGGTGCTGTTCCCACACAAAAGACCACTCAGTTGCTTTTTGCGAACGTTATTTTGTTTACATTCTTTCCCTTGAACGGACCTACATGCCTTATTCACCCTAAACGAGATCTCAGAACAATAACATTCTTCCCCCTTTCAAATCAACATTATCATCAGTTTGAATAGTCTCTCTCCTCTGCCATTCCATGAATCTTCCAGGACCCATCCTCTTACCAACCTGCCTTTTCTGCAATTTTTTTCAAAGGCGGACACAACTCCACCTGCCTCGCAATAACGAACTCTGACGTATTTCCCCTTCAGCATGAATGGATTTTTCTTGGCATTCTGCCAAATACAGATCCCATCAGTTTGGGTACAAGTACTTGTTTGGATAGTTTTTAATTAGGGAGCGGAAAATTTTTGAAAATGTCTCTAAACGGCACAGAAGCTATACATTTCTTACCTTTAATTTATTTTTGAGTTATGGTTTCATTTCATGCATTTTTCTTAACTGGTATGTCATATATAAGGACTTAGGTTGAGTTTTTGCATCTATACGGCCCACGACGATGTCGCGCAATTTAATCTATTGCGGCGTTTCTGTGTAATTTAAAATTTTTTCCTGCCATTTTTCTCGAGTGCGGCGTTTACGCTGATGCGGCCTTTCTTCCGGAAATTACGGTACATTTCCAAGAGTCAGAGTTGGAGTCGGTCATTTTCCCTACAGACTCCACAGCCCTGCGACTATGAGCTGTTAAAACCTGGGGAAACATTTAATACTAAACATTACCAACAACAATTCATCAATTTGAACTGCCCACTGCTTGGAAAAAGGCCAGAATGCCAAAAGAGGAAACACAAATTCATTTTTCTTCGTAACAATGCTCCATTACATATGGCAAAACCGATTCGAGACGTTGCAGCGCTCAGCTGGGAAGTTCTACCCCATGCGGCTTACTCACCAGATATGGCTCCTCTCGATTATCACTTGTTTGCATTGATGGGTCATGTACTTACTGAGCAGTTCTCTGGTTTGTATGAAGATGTGATAAAAATGGCTCGACGAATGATTTGCAGCAAAAAGGGAAGATTTTTACTGGTGTGGTAGTCGCAAATTGCCCAAAAGATGGAAAAAATGTATAACAAGTGATGAAACATACTTTGAATAAAGCACATTTTATCACTCTTCCAAATTTAACATTTTTTAAGGAAAAAAATCTGCATTTCATACTCGTACACCAGGTATTTCAGTTCATACATTGAAATAATAGAAGCAATATGAACAGTAATATGGTCTCCTGTAGAAAATGACAAAATATTTATCATGGTTATGATCATATCATGCTTTGTGTGTTTCTTATTGCACATTTTGAAGAGCAACGCATATTCATTATATTGTTATTTTTTTCCCAGTCACACAAATATCACAGAAACCAGAATTTGTATTCAAATTACTTCTGTTCCAATAAGCAATATTAAAAAGGAAAAAGGGAAAATATATAATTAAACAAAAAATATTGGTTTTCTATACCTGTAATCTGCCATCTAACGTTCTCTGAATTGTTACACACTTGCTTGGGTGTGCACCATTTGTTGTTATGGCTGTAATTAAGCTATCGAGTTCATCTCTCTTTTCTTTAAGTTTTTTTACAAGACTTTCTATAGCTCTTTTAGAGAAGCTCTCTGATTCACCACCTTGTCTATGACACATCAAACTGTGAACTATACTTAAACAAGCATCAGCTGAAGTTGGTGCATTTGTCGTCATGTTTGTTACATTACTTCAGCTTCTGAAAAAATTTAAATCAATAGCCCCACCCCCCAAAAAAAATTAGAAACAAGTTCACTTAAGTCACTCTCAATATTTGAAAAACTACACTATTGCTGCTAGCAGCGATAATCCCATGTCTAAACTATGGCCTGATGAACAATCATGAGTGGATCGAGAAGTACATCTGTTGTTGGCATACAAGTATACTTCATATCACAAATTTCTCAAAATACTCATCCACAGCTGGAATAAAAAAGAAACATGAAACATATTATTTATATAATATATTTAAATGATTTTATAAAATTTAATAACAGAATATGAAACTTTAAATATAAGTGAAATACAACACAAACATTCCCAAGATACACATAAAAATTATCATTTAGGACAAAAGCATTCATTTAAAATAACACTATTTATTAGAACAGTACCCAAATCAGTTTAAAATCAGAAACTTTTACATTAATGAACCTAATAACACAGTTTTCAGATTACTGTCTATATGCCAACAGGATTATAACAAAAATATTTCATCCAAAATTTAATTATTCAGATTAACTAAGATCAAGATTCATCAGAACAATGTAAAATCCATATAACTAGACAGTCATTTTTTTACAACTTAATTTCGCTGCAATGCAAGTAAGGGAATTTTTAGTTTTAGTTTACTCCACTACGTTGCAACAAAATTATTGTAAAGAATAAAATATTTCCATAAAGCAATACACAAATCACCCTGTTTTAGAAAAAATTAGACTGAAATTTTCCTTCATATATCCAATAAATTTAAATATACAATATTTTTTTAATTTATTATTATATTACTTTATTTTCTCTACATTAAATTTTAAAAACTTAATTTTTATTTAAGTGAAAGAAAAACATAACTATTTCTATTTAGACAAGGCATTTTTTTACTGTTATAAAAAAATAATCAATACTTTTTGAATCTCCACACCCCACACTGAAGAATCCTGAACTAATAGCTGACTAGCAGAGCAAACATTTACTTGGAACATGGACCAAGGCATACAGGTTAGGGAGTACCTTAGTGGTATCCTTATGTCTATTTCAACGATGCATCCAATACTGCCTGTTTTTCTTCTTTAAACATTCTTCTTCATAGAAGACATGCACACATCTCAAGGATAACATCATCAAATAATATTTATGTTTGGGGATAATTCCAGTACTTCTTCACAGAATTTTAATGACTTAGAATCCTTTGTCCAACAATAAATAAAGGAAATAACTGTTGTAAATGAGATACACCTATCTTCAAACCAGTTTATGATTCATATTCTAACCCGTTGCTTGCAATTTTTCATACTGCATTTCCACAAAATTCGGTCGCTTAAGAAATACAACATTGTAGAATGGAAATTTCTACATTCTTCAACATTGGGCAAAACTATATATTTCTAAAGAAATGCAACATTCCCCTGCACCATCAGCCAAGAAACCCCACTGCAACATTATGATCTGTTAAGTCAGAAACAAATGTACTCAATAGCAAAACGAGATAATCAGAAAAAAGACACTGAATTTCAGAAGTGCAAATCCACATATATTAAAACTTGAGTTGCTTCATCATTGGTGATCTTATGGATAATAAGAAAGCATTTTATAATCTGTAATTAAGTAATACACAACGAGGTAAAATAATGAAAGAGCTTTTAGTCTTACTTTTAAATCAGCAAAGGGGGGGGGGATAAAGAAATTACAAATTGATTTTTATTTGGCTAACAAGCCAAAGGTACTGGATAAGGGTATTTCTGATTACCAGTAACTTAAATTCTACTGCACGTCTAGCACGATAAAAGATTAATTTATACACAAATAATTATTCAGTTTGAAGACACTCACACAGCTATGGTAGAAAATGTTTATGTGTCATTTTCAAAAATATTGTCATATTTGTTTGATTCACCACAAAAAGACTTCCATACTTGTTGGCTAAAGCTGCCTTGGTAAGAAATGGCAGCCAGCATGTTTTAGCTTATAGAAACACATACTGATCTGCACATGCAGTTTACTTCTTTCTTGTTTTTTATGTATGCAGTTTATATTTATTCAGATATGGAAAATTTTATGAGCTTTTCCACTTTACCAAACAATCAATATACTTACAACTTTCAATCTTCAGTCTCCTATTATTGAAAAAAAAATTAGTTTGTATACGAGTTCACTGTGCAGTAGAAAGATGGCGACATCATATTTTAGGTATGTTTCTATATGTTGTGTCTTGTCTATTTATATGTACAGTTAAAAGTCGTTAATCCGGACTCGTCGGGACTTCGGCGATTCCGGATTATAGATCATCAGTTTAAATCTGGTAAGATGGCATGCAGAAATTATATAAAATTAAAAATATGAAATAAACAGACATAATTTCTTCTTCAGATACAAAGTTTCGCTGTTCAAGTCCTATAATTGCTGTGTCGAGAATACCGACTAATTTGTCAATCGAAATTTTTTCATTTTCAATAACCTCTCTGGCACTTTCTTCACTATCGGAAGCGAATTATAATGAAGAGGAATTTGATTTAAATTATATCAAAGACAAAGTACATCGTGATGAAATACTACATTTAGTAAGGAATTATAAGAAAAATAAAATAAAAACATCTGAACTGAAGATAAGGATAGTGCTGACAGATCAACTTCCAATTCATTGCGCGCCGCAGCGTTTTTTCCCCCCACCGCAGAGCAGCGTGAAATTGATAAACAGATTTCGGAATGGTTAGATAAACAAAGGATTATGCCTTTATCCATTTTTAGCAGCAATTCCACTTTTTGTTTAATGGACTTCCAAACATACTTTCGCTTTGTAGATCCTTAACATATTAGAAAATATATATCGGAAATTCTATTTGACATAATTGAAAGTTCAAGCTTACTTTTATAAAATTGCTTTAACAGTCTGCAAAAAATAATAAGCCAGATCCAATTCGAAGATTACGGAACAACGCAATCTGCAACATTAACTGAATTAGATAATTTTAGCTTAGCTTACACCGTCCGTTATACATTAAACGCGCATGCATAAGCGTATTATGCGCATGCGCACACGCATATTCGCAGCCGTAAAGGTCTTACGCGCAGAAAGTTTGTAGCTTTGAGGTCCGGATTATAGATCATTCCAGTTTATGGGTGTCCGAATTAACGACTTTTGACTTTATATGTTATAGAAATTTTAAGTATATTTCTACATTTTGTTGAATTGCAATAAATTGCTTATAAAATCGTATTCATTATTTTTAATAAAAATTGCATTAAATAAAATAAAAAACACAAATTAAAATTAAATTCCTTTTGCATACATAAATAAATTGCTTCTGTTATTTATACTACACATACTGAAATATTTTTCAATAAGTAAATTGTAGACTATATCGAAGTATCATTGTGTGTGATAAAAAAAAAGAAAAAAGGGGGAATGCAAAAAAGGGGGTAGTGCTATATCTCCCATTCTACTGGGCTGATTGACAAAATTCAAATTGAGTTTTCCATGTCTCTAGAGCGCGGCTTAGGATATGTATTAGATTTATATATAGCATTATTCTAATATAGATACTTTGACACAAAATCAGACCTTTTCTGAAATGACATGGCAAGTTTTTTCCATATTTCGATTCTACGATTCAAATTATGCCAAACAGCCAAGTTTTGTAAAAGTTGCACGAGTAGTTTTTTAAAAATAAGCTCCCAAAATTTTAGCTTCTCAATGTGAATTCAATTTGGTATGTATTTACTAATATCTCTTTTCTTATTAAACTTACTTGGTTCCTTCCTTCACAGTTTGAAATTTAGGTTCATTCCAAATAAAATTTACTTATTTTTTATGATTTATTTTTTTAATTTGTATTTTAAAATAATTTCTATAAATTTTTGGAAAAATTTTTGAATTGTAACCTATATGATGTTTACCATCATTTTAAAGTAGATGTATTTCTAAGTATAAATGCAAAAAATTGGAGCTTTTTGTTCAAAATTTTCGAAGATATACGTGAATTTACATACTGGTGTGTTTTGAAATTTGGCATGGTTGTTGAAAGCAATAATAACATTTAAAGTAGTTTATGCACTTTGTTCAAATTATTTGAAAGAAAGAACGATGTGACTTTTTCCCACTCATGCACAATGTAAAAAAGGTAGGAACAATGTGGCTTTTTTTCCGCTCCTGCACAATGGAAGGGAAAGGAAAATAGGTTGACATGAAAGAAGTGAATTATTCTTGGTGCATGCTGAAAAAAATGCAACAAGCTAAATTTTTGAATTTCTTTGTAAATTTCGCACCAAATTTTATAAAATTTAATATTTAGGCATAATTCGAATCGTAGAATCAAAATATGGGAAAAAATTGGTATGTTTTTTCAGAAAAAAGACCCATTTTGTGTCAAAATACCTACGTTATAACAATGCTATCGACAGTAAGACCCCGCATACGTTCCATCAAAGTAGAGCAAAAAGCGAAACAGCGCTAAACGAGGCTATTTTAACATGTAAATAATGGGGTTAGGGGAAGATGGATAGAAAATTGGTTAGGTATTAAATTAATTAATTTTTTTAATAAAAATAAAACCAAACACTTATTTAAAAAAAAAAAAACCAATATAAATGAATATACTTATAAAAACAAATAAAACATGTTAAAATAGCCAAGTCAATCAGATCATTCAGTTTATTCTGTGTTTCCAATTTTCTGTCTTTTTGTCAAGAAGGCATCTAATGTAGTTTGCGTTTTCTTTTTGCATTCTGTTAGAAGTTGTTGATAAGTGGATAAAGCATCTGGTAACACCTCGTCTTGCTTTTGAACTCCTGTCAAAATTTGGATCAGTTTTAACAAATTGGTCCATAATTTCAGTTATAGTGGTCAAACTCCTTTTTACACAAACACCATCGAAAATTCTTTTTGCTCTTCTTCAAAATCACTATTATCAATATTTTTGTTTTCTTCTTGCGCAGTTAATTCCTTCAGCTCATCATTAGAAAGACTAGCTGCTGTTTCTTGAACTATTTCTTCAATGTCTTCTACATTTACCTCTTCTAAACCGCTTTGTTTCGCTAATTCCACTATTTCATCCATATCGACTGTCCAATGTCTTCACTCTTACTTAAATCTTGCCAAATGTTCTTCCATACTCCTTTCAAAGATCTTTCTGTTATCTCATTCCAAGAAAGGTTCATGTTTTCTACAGCATTCCTGATATTGTAGTTTTTCCAAAATTATCTTATTGATTGCTTCTCTTCTCCATCTTTTTTCAAACATCTGCTTAAATGTTTGCCACAAGTATTTAGTTCGCCTTAAAATTGTATATAACGCCTTGGTCCATTGGTTGGATTAAGGCAGTTGTGTTAGGCGGCAAGAAAACCACTTCGACTGGAATGCATGTTGTTAAGTCTGATAAATTTGTTGGGTGGCTTGGAGCATTATCAATTAATAGTAGTGCTTTTTTTTTTTTTTTTTGGTTCAAGTTTTTTAATTTTGCAATAACGTTTAACAGACGGGCAGAAATGTTCAGTGAACCAATCCTGGAAAATTTTCATAGTTATCCATGATTTTTTATTAGACTCCCAAATTACAAGTAAAGTTGATTTAGATATGCCTTTCATTGCTCTTGGGTTTTTGGAGTGGTAAACTAGTAGTGGTTTTAATTTGAAATCTCCGCTTGCGTTACCACCCAGTAGAAGTGTTAAGCGATCTTTTGCAGCTTTAAATCCTGATGCTCGTTTCTCTTCACGGGATAGAAATGTTCGTTTTGGCATTCTTTTCCAAAACAGGCCTGTTTCATCAACATTAAAAACCAATTCTGGAGGGTAGTTTCCTTGTTCAATTATCGTTTTTAATGTCGCTGAGAATTCAGCCGCCGCTTTCATATCACCACTTGCTGCTTCTCCTACACTTGCTGCTACAATCTTTATGTTGTGAAGATTATTTTGATGTTTAAATCTATTAAACCATCCTCGACTAGCAAAGAGAGTTTCACTTATGTCACTTGCCTCAGCCTGAATGTAATTAAAAATTCTTCTAGCTTTTTCCATTATGATAGATTGGCTTAATGGCATATTGCGTTCAATTTTGTCGTCAACCCATATAGACAGTCGTTTTTCCATTTCCTCTATAATGTTATTTCTACAACAGGTAATTCTAGCTGCAGTTGTCGACGACAGTATTTTTTCTTTATTCTTAAGAATTGTCCTTATTGTTGAAGTTGCCAAATTCAATGCAGCACTAATTTGAGATTGATGTTCACCAGAATCTAATCTTCTAATCACTTGCATTTTAGTTTCCAGTGAAATGCTTTTTCTGGTTCTTTATTTTCTTGTTTTTTATTATCACCCATGATAAAAACTATAGATCATAATATTTGTCACTGTATTAATCGTTATAGTATTATATAAATTTATACTTACAATAATGTCAACAAATGTTTCAAATGATAAAAATGCGTCCGTACAGCATCGCACCAAACAAGAAACACAACTACACTGTTTTCGATATGTTATTTGGAAACCTAGCGCTGCACACAATTTCGGGGAATCCCCGTAGTGTTGTGAGCAATTTCGGGGAATCCCTGGGTTGAAATAAAAGAGTGCTAAACGAAACAGCATTAAGTGGGGTCTTACTGTATAAATCTACTATATATCCTATCCTAAGTCGCACTTTTGAGACATGAAAAACACAATTCAGATTTTCTCAATCGGCCCAATAGAAAGGGAGATATAGAACCATCCCCCCTTTTTTGAGCAGTGTACATATTTAGTTTACCATCATAAACATACCTATGGCAGAAAATGATTTTATGACATTTTCAAAATAGTCATATTTATTTGATTCATCACAGCAAGACTTCTACATTCAGCCAATGGTATGGCACCCATTTTAAATCCTGTAAAGATAGTTTTAAAAAACTCAATAATAAATTTAAGTTAACAGCTTTTTAAATTAATTAAAATATAATATATTTATTTTTTTAAAAAGACAGTACAACCATGTTTTCTTAATATAGATATCTTGTTCCATTAGCATCAACATGTTCTACATTTACTATAATCTAACTCTTAAAAGCACTAACACTAATGACAAGTCTCAAAATTTCCAGTATGCACCGCAACCTGGCAACCATGTGCATAACAATTCTTAGGACTTAACAAGCAACACTGTTATTTTTGTTGTATTCCAAGTTTTAATGGTTTTTATAGCCAACTGAGGAAATTTTTTCCTACTTAAACTCAACTTTCAAAATATGTGCTTGTGAGATTTATCAAAAATGGAAAAAAATTTCTACAGGAACACATTACTTTACTGAAAAATTGCTAACGAGAATAACTGCTTTCAATTGCTGAGTGCTACATGAGCTGAATGAAGCAGATAAGAAAAGACAAGTTTGTACTTGAACTAATCTGCTTAAATATCACTTGAGATGAAAAGTGGATTTACTTCAAGAACACAGGCCAAAAAGCGGGTTTGTCTGCACCCAGTGAGCCATGGGCAGCATCGCAAAGTGCTATTTGACTAACAAAAAGATCGTGCTTCGTTCCACAAAGAGAATCTGGAAAAATGTAAAAATCTCAACATTAAGGTGTACCACAGATGCTAGTCCATGTTGATGCTGCTATCGAGGAAAAATGTTGACCTGAGTTCTGGTACATTCTGGAGTTCTGGTAACGCTTCATCAAGATAATGGAAGGACACGTTTCTGCATTCACCTGCTGGTCTGGAATCTTCGCTACATATTTGTAAAAATAAAGGGGGAAATAAAACAAATATTTCTCTTTTTAGTAGCCTAGAAGATAAAATTTCTAACAAAACTACAGCAGGTGCTATTTAATGTGATCATATTTGTCCATGGTTATTTTGATACCCTCACACAGTCAGAGAAATAATCTTCAAATTAGTAATGGAGTAATTTAATATAAGTAAATATAACTAGAAACACATAACATTAGGAAAATGCAAAATTTTACGAACTGTTGATGACATTTCTGAAATTATTTAACTGATGCTCTACTCTTACTAGTAGGGGTCGTCTGATTAGAAGAGGAAAAAAAACTGTTCTCGTGTGTTTCAGAGAATAGACCATCTGAAAAAATCTTTGGAACCTCCTAATAAAGGACCATTCCCTGTTATTGATTGCAAAGATAAATATTTTACTATTAACATAAAAGGAAAACATGTTAATTTATCCCTGGATTACTTGAAACCAGCTTATATTTTAGCTCAGGAAAATTCTCAGTTAACAAAACATAACAGCAAATTGTAGAGACCGGACTCAAATTCAGATGTGGATCAAAATCACTCTTGCACAGGTACATGTTTACTTGTTAAATTGAAGGACTGTACCTAAATTCTACTGACAGTGGTCAACACTGCAATGTCAGTTACTACAGTACAAAATATGGATTCGTCGGGACTTCTGAGATTCCGGATTTCTGTGGATATTAGATCATCAGGTTAAATCTAGTAAAATGACATGTAGAAATTATAAAATCAAAAATATGAAATAGTGTTTTATGAAATAATGAAGTATTTATGATATAAAAGGTATCAAAATTTACATACAAACAAACAAAACAAAAAAAGGGGGTTAATATTCATTTGTTTACCTTATTAAACATTTCTTTCAATGTAAGTTGTTTTAAATTGCTTGAATTTTGTGCTAATACTTTCTCTTTAATTCTGTAGACAGACATAATCTCTTGTTCCGTTCCATTGTTGAAGCCCTGTAATTCCTGTGTCGAGAATTTCGCTTAGCTCAATTCAAAATTTTTTCATTTTCAGTAACTTCTCTGTCACTTTCTTCACTACTGGTAGCAGTATTTTCTGAATCTAGAACCATACTACAGATTTCCCCATTCATTAACTGATTGATGATCGAGGAGTACTGCTATCACAATGAAAAACTGCCTTTATATCATCTTCATTTATTACTGCCTCTCCACATTTCTTTACAAAATCCATTAAGTGGAAAACTTCACCTTTGTTTTGCGATATCCGAAAACCTTTAAAATTAGCGGCTATTATCATCAAATTTAACTATCCTTCACTATGACTAACGACACTAATGACAAGTTGTTTCGTTAAATTTTATCTTGCTTCTATCGTGCACTGAGACAATTAAGCCTGAATTGTATTAATTTAGTTATTTATTATACTTATGTCTATTTCTTGCACATGCTTAAGGCTTATAAGAAGTCTGAATAAATATAAATTCCCACATATACTGAAGCCTTATTGAGGGCCGGCGCTAGATATCTTACCGCCTGATGAAGTCTCCTCTTAAATTCTTGACCCGGTGCGGCGAAGTTTTGTTTATATTCATATTTCTTTTATGCTGAATGGCAACAAGTAGTTATATTTCTTTTACGCTGAATGGCAACTATAGTGATTCGTGATTATTTTGTTTTCGAATGTTGATTCTATTGTTATTTAAGTAGCAGCTCATTTTTGAGAGCTATAAAAATAAAAGCAGTAAATTTGACTATTTGTTAGTGATTCTTGTTGTTTCTAATTATAATTCAGTTTGAATATCAGTAGTCAAGAGTACAAGATCACAGATTTTTCATTCAGCTTTTGCCACACAGTAATTCGTCCTTTGGATTCGTCTTCAAATATAATATTGTTTCAACATGATAAATCAGTATTTACGCATCATCCTGTCGACTACAAAAGTAGGCAAAGATCTCACTAATCGTTCCTACAGAACTCTGGGATAGCATAGACCTCTACATTTAATAAACAATCAATCTGCTTCGTTTTCACTCTTGTAAATGGCTTCAAAAATGTCTACTATTTTGTTAGGCCCTCTAATTTTACAAGAAGCTCTGTTTTGAAATGCTATGAGTACAAACTTCCTGCAGGTGACTGTTATAGTCTATTACTATTTTGTCAGACATATTCAGCTGATCATATTAAGCCGATTAATAGAGACTTTTTTTATGGTAGGTTCCTATAGCTTCGAAAACAATCCACTGCTTGCTGTTATATAGAAGGCTCATCCCAAATTTAAAGCATTTTTCAAAATACAGCAATGGTTCATTTATATTCTTACTAATAAAAACAAATAGTGGCTTATCGAAAATCAATCAGGCTTACATCAAATGAATGTAGATGTTATGGGTGTGCTGTTATGTTAACACTAAATTTCACAGCTTGGCAACAGTTTCATGGTCAAGGGAATGAAATTGTAAGTACCAATAAAACTTTGCTTATTGTGTACTTTATGGACGTTTATTTTCCTTGTCAAGGAAGAATTTCCTTCTTGATGATTGCCCATTATATACATGTGCCCTACTGACAGTTCTGACGGTGTCAGGGCTATTCCAAAAGATTCTTTTACATCTGCTGAAAGTTAAATTTTGGGTCTCATTTCATTTTTTTGTAGGATAAATCACGGTTTCCTTGGCATTAGCTTGGAATATAAGTCACACATAAATATATTTTCAAACGTTTCACAGAATTTTCATCATTTTAGAACATCCAAAATAGTTGAAAGCTTTGTATTAAGGATTTTTTTGTAAACTTCAAATACTTTTTACATCTTTAAGAAATGATGAATAATTAATTCACTCTTCTAACAGAAGTAGTAATTAATTTTCAGCATCTGGCCATGCTCATTTCAGATATGGAACTATTAATATATTCTAGTAAACAAGAAATAATTTCAAAATGCAAATGGTAATTCTCATGATATATTTCAATATTTTTAGTCCAGTTTACATGACTGTGTCCAATTTAAGTGCTCTCTCCAGTGATGGGAGATAAGTAGGATGCATAATGCTGGTCACTGAGCATACAAATAAATCACTTCATATAGCCTTCTGTATACTGTCATGGCTGATACTATTCTTTCTGCAGTAGAAACAAGCAAGGATCTAAGCTAAGATGGAGTTGCAGTCTTGTTGTGACATAGCCATCTTCAGAATTGTTAACTCTTGGCTTCCTTTCAACAGGACTTCAAAAGACTGAACCAGTAGCTAGAAATTGGTTCCACAACCGGCTTACTATGGAATGGTAGGCAATTAGCCATCTTGCATTGTCAGCCTGTCATTGACCTATGGCTCTGTAATGCATTTCCGCTAGCAAATGTCACCTTGAACTCATATTTGTACTTTAGCCATCTCAAAATTGTTTAATATATTGTTGTTCACTGAACAGCGTTTCCCTCCTAAACAGCTGGATTTTAAGTTGTATAGTATTTACATACCGGCAGCACCACTTTTTTGCATAATGCTACTCAATGCAGTTGTTTTTTTATTTATAACATATCCTAATTTTAAGAAATTTGAGCTGCTTTTTAGCAATTTATCACAACTTTTCAATTTGTAGCTGACATTTTGGAAACCAGTGAAGATACATGTACAACAATAAATATTACAAAGAGGCTCATACTTTTCCTAACTTAAATACAAACTGGTCTGTCATAGCTGGATGACCTATGCATTTGTGAATTTTCAATTTATTATGTGATGTTATTCAACAAAATTCACTTAGTTCTGTTTTGCTGAATTAATTTCTACAGTGATTCTTTAAACGTATGGCGAGTTCACGTTCTACTACGATTCCTGTCAACTTGTGGTGAGCTATTTTTCTACTGATTCTTTCAGCTTGTGGTGAATTCCTAATTTCTTTAAAGAAATTTGTGCATTTAATTTGTTTATAACTCAGAATTCATTTAATACGTTTTTGTCTATTTAATTGGCTTATAGTTCACAATTCATTTAATGAAACTCTGTGTTCTTGATTATATTCTATATTCATAATGGAGAGTTTCAAAACTTCACTTCATAAAAAAAAAAAAAAAAAGCACTTAAATTCTTAATCACCCGCTTAAAGAACAAAACTCTAGATGAAATAAATCAATTGGATTTTGCTAGCTTAAATGTTAGA